TTTTTTCTTAAAACCCAAATTTTTTAAACCCTGCTTTATATTGAATAAAAAATAAAATTTTCTCTTAAGAATCACAATAAGAAGAACAAAATGGACCAATATTAATGAGGACCAATGTTCACTTAATTTATGACTTATATGAGGATTTACAGATTTTCTGATTTTCACTAAAAAATAACGATTCATATAACTTTGAATAATTCACTCACATAATTCCTTTTCTATGTGATTCTATATTCCAAATACTAAATAAAAAACACTACATGAGTCAGATTAGAGGCAGCCCAAAGAAATAGTGTTACAGAGAAAAGATAAAAAGTAAATTACACCAAGATTAAGTTACATCGGTAGAAACAAGCATTAAGCCGGCGGCACGATGCTTGTTTTCATATTGATTGTTAACAGCTGGATTATAATCCTTGCCATCGGCTGTGATGCTGACAATGTCAGCTTTAGTGCCTGATACGACTGGCTATATCAACCCAGGCATAGAATTACCTCATATAAAGGAAATCAGAGCTATATAACGAAGGGAAAAACGTTTAACTTGCGAGCTAAGTTTTGAATAAGTCTGATTTAAAAAGATTTGCTATAGTGTACTTATAAAAAAATATTCTTCTGCACAGGCAAGTTTGTGCAAAAGAATGTTTTTTAATCAATTTTAATACCGAAAGGTACATTTGTGTAAAATTGACTGATTTCTTCAAAATTAATAAATTTACAGAGAAAAAAATTAATACATTTAAGTGTGCTCACCAAGTTTAATAGTGATATTCCTTTCTAGTTCATTTTTAAAACGAACAGTCTGCACTCCCGAAATAGCTTTCACAATTGTTGATTTTCCATGTGCTACATGTCCAATAGTTCCTATGTAATAAATTTATATATAAACATTTATCTATATTTTATAACACTAGTGTTAGAAAATATATGTATCGCATTTTTAACTTGAAATACTTAAACTTTGTGGACTCACCAATATTGATTGTAGCCTGCCTACTGATTACTTCGGGTGACAATGCAGTTAATTTAATTACATCCTGTACACAAAATCAAAGAAAAAAAACATAAGTACTTTTCAGTGCAATAATGCTAGGATAAAATTAAATTCAAAATCATTACAATTTAAGATACAGTGGAACTTTCATAACTTCTACTACACGGGGCTGTAAGAAGTTATGGAAGTTCTCCTCATTCTCACATTAGAGCTGAAGCATTAAAAATAAATAGCATGTATTAAATTGATTCTATAATAAGTCGGTAGTTGGTAGTCCTAAGTTTTATCGATGAATCGATGAAGTTGGCCAACAGCCAACTTGTACGATTAAGGCCAGTATTCATAGTCAGATTTTATTATTTCAAGACTGTCTTAAGTAGTCCTAAAAAGTCACAAATCAATCACAGGGCCGTATTAGCGTCTTGAGACATTATTTAAAACAGTCTTGAAATAAGAACGAACTGTGAACCTATCACTGCCCTATCAATTTTCTTAAGACTGATCAAATTCAATCCTTCCAGTTGAGCTAAATGACTCACTGTACAACTAACAGCTAGTAGATGCAAAAAATCATAGTCACCTATTTAAAACTTGTTAAAACTTCAGATATTTCCGACTACTTTTTCTTTTTCTTTAACATAAAGAGAAAAGATAAACTAAAAATCTATAGTTCACATTATGTATACTTATGGTGACCATACATCCTTTATCGTAAGAACAATCCTTTTTTTTATTTTAAGTAATTATCCTTTAAATTTATTTGTTTCTTCAAAACTTAATTTTGTCCTTTATTTTTCAATATTATCCTTCACTATCTTTTATTTTGATATTACAGGAAATTTTTTTCTAGCGTTCTAATATCTATATATTACATTAGTAAATATTACATTAATAAATAAATTTTTACAGAAAATATTTTAGTTTCATGCATATAAATACAATTTTTTTTATTAATTATATTTCTTAATTTTTTAAATTTATTCAAACTAGAATTTTCATTTTTTATTTACTTTTTATTTCGAAAACCTTTTATTATTTTAGATCAAAAGTTTATTTTGATACAGTCGAACTAGTTTCGAACTGTCAGAAAACTGTGCATTATCTCAATTTGCTTATACTGTACCAATATTTTATAACGCAGATTCTTGAGTCACAAAGTGGTTTGTAAACATGTTAGGAAGTCCTCAAATTTTCGGATTTGTTCTTTATTTTCTTTAAGAAAATATGCCACCATACGTATACTATAATTTTCGATACTTGCAGTGAATAAAAAACCGAATGCAGCCTTTATGCAAGTTCAACTAAACAAGATCTAGATACATTGATAAAAAAATTCCAATAACTGAAGATTAACAAAGAATAAAATGTTCTATGTATGATTCATAAAAGATTAATTTCTTGTAGAATAAATATAGAATATTATACTCACACCTCTTACTCTTGTAGAACGTGCAAGACACTCTATTATTATAATTATTATTACAATTAAACTTTTATCTAGTTTTTATTATTATCTTTCATTAAACTTAAAATAGGCGTTAAGAGGAAAAAAAGAACAAAAAATAATTAAGAGCAACATGTACACAAAAAGTAAAACTGGCATCCTATTGATTAACAATTAATTTGCAAACTATACATTTTGCCTGCACTTGAAAAGTCAGACTAGTAATTTATCCATCTTACAGCATGCTACAATTTAATTGAACAAATATTCAATCATTTCCTCCCTTCCGCGTCCCTCCCATTCCTCAAATCATTTGATGATCCTGAAGAAAATTCTCACTGACTTCATACTAAAATTAAGTCAGCCTACAAAGGGACAAAGAGATAAGAGGCAACAAAATTGGTGTCGAATCCTTTTCTCTCTCTCTCTCTCTCTTTATCGTGAAACTGAAGAGACTCTGAGTTTAATTTGGAGTAACGAGAAATGTTGTGCACGTGGCTAGTCATGCCAAGCCAAGCCAGCGTGTACGATCACGCGGTTACGCCTCAACGAGGTTAACATGGCGGCACGGCGTCAGGGGATCGAATATATATCACAAAATAAGATGAAAATTACAAAAATGGGCAAATTCATTAGAATATTTATAATTTAATTAGTTAATATCTATTAAATTTGCTCACTTTTGTAATTTTCATCTTATTTAAAAATACATAATCGACTCTCAGATAAGTGGCGCGAAAATCACAGCGTCTAACCGCGAACTTACGAGCTTTGATAGATCTTGCTTGTAGAGATTCGGCTGCCCGGTAGTTACACCAAGACCATCCTCGTTTCCCATTTTCCAAGTCTCGCCAGTGAACCTCAGAATACCTCTGCTCTACAAGGATTCCTTGTTCAATCTTTGTGTCCTTCGGCGTCCTTCCACTCACGTTTCCAACCAAATGGTTGTGAAGAGATGAACGATGACTTCAATATTGCAAGTAAATTTTTCACCACTTTCTACTTCTACTGACCTCCACTTTCTTCTACAAATTCTACAATATTTTACTTCCTGTAGTCAACTGAATATTTTCAAAAGTTCTCATTGATGGCGCTGTGATGAACGTGGAAACACAGACTAATGTAGATGCGAAGAAGGATGTACCAATTGCAACCGAAAATACAGCATTACTTTACTAGAATAACGACATTTTAAGACATAATTAACTACTAAAATGTAAGTTGCTTTTCATTCACAGATTTTCAGTAGGCAAGTGATAATCTCGATCGAGTGCATATTCCTCTTGCCATCCATAATTCAATCTTATTTTAAGACTGTCTTAAGACGCTAATATAGCTCTCTAATTGATTTATGACAGCTTAAAACTGTATTTAAGATAGTCTTATATATAAGATCTGACTATAAATATCAACCTTATATATATATATATATATATATATCACATATACGCGTGATGCAATACTATATATAGCAATATCCAATAAAGCCAATTATAGCTGAGTACGGGTTAGAAACAAATAAAGCTACCACTTGCTCGTTGCAAAGTCACTAGATTAACAAAGTTAGTACAAGTACCGCGAACTGCCGCCATTTTGGCTCCATGACGCGCGGTTATTCAAAACTTCAGCCTCTTCGTTGCGATTTTTGCAATTTTCACCATAGCAATCGGACATTTTCGATAATAACAGAATCAGGTTCTTCTTCTTCTTCTTCCAAACCCCTGTATGGATTTCCGACCTTTTAACAGAATTAGGTTAGGATAGCACTTCGACATCATTTTGGCTCCAAATGTTAATTCAATGAATTTTCTCATCGCGATACTTTGTTAATCTAGTGACTTTAACTTGTTGCTGAGAAGAATACTTTCTCTCTTATCACTTTTAACATGGGCAGCATAGTGCTAGTGCTGGCAGTGGTTGGCAGCAAATATATCGGAACACAGTGTAGTTGACTCTCTTACTACCAAAATTGTAGAACGATTTGTTTCTGGTTCTTCTAATTGCTTCTAATTATCAAAGAATTGGAAAATGGAGATTAGAGGTCTAGTCTTTTTAGCTGAACTTCTTCCATGATTCATCTTTTCTTCTTTTCTCATATAGGAGTAAAAAAGAGAAAAAATGTAGTGTATGTTTATCTAAAATAGAATTCGACTAATTCTTTGATCGAATTCCAATCTCTTATTCTCAATCTGTAATATAATAGGTAAGGTCCAGTTTCACAACTGATGGTTAACTCTTAACCGAGGTTCAACTTATTTATTATCTCTTTTCAATTCTAGAATTGGAAAAATATGAGGAATAAGTTGAACCTCAGTTAAGAGTTAATCAGTTGAGTTGTAAAACTGGACTTAAAAGTATGTCGAGTACATCAAAACTCAGGTGAAAATTTTTCTTAAAATTTTTTATGTAATATATTTCATAATTTTTATATAAATTTTAGAAAGATATAATATAATTAGAAAAGATTCTTTTAAGATTAAAGGATCTTTAAAATAACAACACAGAAATTCAAATGAGAGAAGAAGTAAATTATTAAATTGGAATAATTCACTTTTTACTTTATTTGTGTGTGATATATGAGCTCTTCTTTATTCCGAAATCTTAAACATTTCAATTCTCTTTGGAATCCTTATCAGCAAAAAATTGTATATTCTTAATCAAAATGAGTTCAGCAGTCAGCGAAGAAGCCCCTTGCAGGTTATCAAAACTGAAATGGATTCTCGACAAACGTGTCGTGAAGCTTTGAAATAATAATATAATTTATAATGTACTAAATATCAATACACACTTTAATTTTAGTGAACATAAAAATGAAATGTCTAAATACCATCTGTTTGAAGTACGCGGCATGCTCCAGCATGCTTGATCTAGGCCGTGGTCCATTCATACTAACAACGCTCATGAGCATCATTTGTCTTCGTTTAACATTTGACAAAGAACAAGGATGAAATGATTTTTAAGTGTGGAGCGAGAATCGGACTGCAACCCTAGAGAGCTTCACAGGAAGAGAGTTGCGTAACTCGTCTTCTCTGATTGATGAACATCAAAGCTTCATAGGCATGGAAGAAAAAACTGGTCACGTGATCCTCGTGGTCCTGATTGAACGTGAGCATTCAACATGATGTAATTTGTCACTCTCTTCCTGTAAGGCTCTCTAACTCAATCCGTTCATGATAAAAGGGAACTTCTTACAGTCGAATGAGAAAGGAATACTCGACTGTGATCAATCGAGTCAATTCTTACAGATTACGGCATATGGTAACGGTTAATAACGCTAATAATACATTTGTTCTTCTTAATAATAGATCTGTTCGCGTTGCTTACATTTTTGGCAGTCGACATCTTTGCTTTCTCTCTTGTCAAGGCAAAATATATATCTGTCTCATTTTTAATTGCAAAAATATTTTGATTTTATGCAACGCAAACAGACTTAATTTCAAGGAAGTGCAACAGTCAATTTATTCAATCAAGAATTTAAAATAGAATTTGATTGCTTAGCATTTGAATGACTGGTCATGATGAAAGAAGAACATGCGCAATGCGTATTATGCGTATACGCACCACGCATGGCACGAGCAAGATACGTCCATATATCTTGTCTCGCTCGCATTCGATGCGATCGAAAATTGCAACAAGGACAGATCTCACTATCGCGGTCAGTCGTGTTGAGCTGAGTTTAGTTGAACGTGGCGTTCTCGGACTCTAGTGTGCATCACTGCGACACTAGGATCATTAAGATCGCTAAGAACTCGTAGATATATTCGATAATAATTTACTTCTCTGATTTTCAGCAGCCTTCAATTTCTTTGTTTACTATTATAAATTTTAGAATTTTTCAGATTTTTTGAATAATTTTATAACTTCTTAAAAAATATTTCAGATTTTTTAATATAAATTGGGACATTTTTAGAAGTGCTAAGAAAATTTACACATCCATATTCTTTTCTAGAATTCTTTTATATAAATTTTGAAACATTCTGAAATTATTCATTTTATAATTTTTGAAAAAAAAAAATATCTTAAACTTTTTCAAATTTTATTGATGAAATTTTACTGTAGTCTTTGTTAATTTTTCAACAGATTTATTACTTCGAATTACAAATACAGTGCACAGCTTAGTAATTAAAGGAAATACTCGCAAAGATCAAGCAGCAGAGAGAGACAAAAGAGTAAAAAGAAAAAAGAACAAACGCGCGAATTACATAAAACAATTAATCAGTAGCAGTATATTCGACTTCATGCGATCAGACAACGATTATCTTATCATTTTCATTATCAATCAAAATTTTGAATTACAAAATTAGAAATTACTGAATAAGAAATCAAAATCTTAGAATATTTCAGAATTCACATTTATTTAAAAGAATTCGTTAGAAATGGGTTTATAATGATGTTGAATCTTATTACATATTTATATTATTAACTGAATATAATACTTTAAGTATTATTTTTATCAGATTTATAGAATTTATATTATATAACTTACTATTATGAAATACATGATTTTGTAATCGGATTGATTTATTGAACAACTTGGACATATAAATATCAGAGGCTTTTAATATTCTTGATATTTACACTGCAACGGTTTGAATATCATCCAAGTCAATGGGAAACTTGATCTTTCGGCAGTATAAAATCTGATTTGTGGAGACCGAAACCAATAAAGTTCAATTCTAAGATTTTAATGCTTTTATATGATTATATCATGAACAAAAACATTAAAATCTTAATATTAAACTTTATCACTTCAGGCACAAATTAACGATTATTCCATAAATCAGACTTAACAGGATTCTTTCCCCGTCATTTCTTCTTTTCCAACAACGTATTCTCTTCCTATTTGCCGGCACTATAAATTGGTAAACTAAATTTCTCCTCCGGAACATTTTTAATCCAGAGCGGCGGCACCAGAAATAATTTCAATCAGTTCCCTGGTGATCACAGCCTGTCGAGTGCGATTGAAAGTAAGAGTGAGTTTGTCGATCATCTCTCCAGCGTTCTTGCTAGCATTATCCATAGCTGTCATACGGCTGGATTGCTCGCTGCAGGCACTTTCTTTCATCGAGTAAAATAACAGCGAAGCAAGAGAGAACTCGAGATAGCTCTGTATTACTTCATCATCGAGCGAATCATACACCGATAATTTTGGCGCAATAATTACTGCGTTCTTATCGAACAATGGTAGTTCATCAATCGCGTACGATACCACAGACTTAAATCTGTTGTACAATATACGTCCACTGCCAAAGGAATAACTGCAAAAGAATAGTTTTTAATTATATTATACAGTATTCTTTTAAAAAGACATATAGTTTATACATCTAAAAGATCTATTGCATTAACTGTTTAAATTAATAATTAGTTACTCTAATACTCTATCCTAGCTCTTGAGTTTGATTAACGTACCCACTGTTCAATATCTGTATAGCTATTTTGGCAGCATCATTGAATGTGGGTGGCTTGCGACCGACCTCGGACGCAACGAAAAGTATGTTTTTCGGGAAATGCCGTTGAAGAATGGCACGAGATTTCTCACCAATGCATATGATCTTCGTGTCCCCGCGTCGATCCTTAGGCTCATCTAATAACTGGTCGCGAATTTTGCGGGATATACCACTATGCACGGCGCCACAGAGACCACGATCGCTGGTCACAGCAATAACAAGCTTTTTCGGTTCTTCTGGTGGTGATTGGATCTCAGCCTGCTCGTAGAACACCTTTGTGCCAGTGCCGAGGGGACGAGCCTGCTTTAAATCACGTTCTGCTCGATTATACTTGGCTGCTGACACCATCTTCATAGATTGAGTAATCTTTTGAATATTCTTGACAGATTTCAAACGTATAGAGATTGCCTTGAGAGTGGCCATTCCCCTCTGCTGCTGCCATTGTTGCTCTTGCGCGGCTAGCCGCAGAAACGTTGATATACGGTTGCTGAGCATCATTGTTAGATTCCTAAAAATTCAAATTATCAAAAGACCACTCTATTTTAATCCAAGGACTTGAATCAAAAAATTGTGAATCATATAATGATCCGAGGCTAAATCCAACTTTTGATTTCAGTTCTTTTACCATAATGGTTACTGAATTCTATCAGAAAACTATCAGAAAATATGCATTATCTCAACTTAATTATACTCAATTAAAATGTTATAATGCACAGATTCTTGACAGTCACAAACTGGTTTGAAAACATGTAGGAGCAAAGTCCTAAATTTTCAGATTTGTCCTTTATTTTCTTTTGCTTAGTTTACATCATGCGCTTGCGATACGGACACTAACTAATAGCTTCCCAAAGAATTGAAATAGATAGAAATAGATTCATTGCCAAATTCAAAATTCTGATTTTTTTCAGATACTGGGATTGAATTATCTTAATTTTGATACATGTAAACATACACATGATATATGTATTTAATTAATCATTTTGAAGCATTGTATTTAGTACATCAGTTTTTAATATATTGCTAACATTAAAATTATTTAATAGAAAGTTACTATTGTATATCAGTGGAATAGAGCATGCGCAGTACAAGATAGACTTCTCACAAATAAGTATATATTAATTTTATCTATTGTACCAGTGAGTATTATTTCGTACCCTCCTTCAAATATAACAGTTAAGTAAAAGAGATGTAAAAGAGATCTTTAAAAAAATACGTATTTATATTGAACTGTATTTATATTGAAACATGGCTATAGTAAGTAGGACTAGCATCAGAATACAATATAGAATACAAAATAACCCTTAAGTACTAAGATTGGTGATCTGTGGTGAAAAAAAACAAAACGTTTTATTTTTTTTTTTTTTTCACTTTTAAATGCTTCATTTGTTACGTAGCTTTTGTTCAACCAGTCACACATAAGTGGTAATAGTGAAAACATGGCACATTTATTTAATAGATATCAACCTTAGTAAAAGTGTCACTACTTTTTATGTCAGTATTTAAGAGATAAAAAGTGTCAGAATAGAAGTGATAAATAACCTAGCTATTTTATACAAGTAGTTTTGTCAGTTAATGCAAATTACTGATGACAGTGATAAAATGCAATTACATTTCTGATGATAGTGATAAATACAACGAAATGAAAGATCTGTTACATCTGCAGAGGAAAATTTCTGACATTCGGTAAGCGCGTTTTACGCTCTTCTTTGTCAAAAATCCTTTCTGTATACATACTTTCTCGCTCCTGGAATAAATCGTAAGACACGATATGAAACACGATCCTGGATTAAATCATAAACTTGAAATTACGGCGATGCATCAAGTCCGATAATCAGGAACTCAGTTCCAAATGTAGCACAATATCGTTCCGTTTACATAATCACAAGGAGAATATGTATGTAGAATCAGTTCGATATCGTCGTCAAGCCAAGTGCGAAAAAGATGAAGTTGCATCGTTTAGGAACAATGCAGCGAAATCGACTCACCGGCCAAAATGAAGCTCTGAAAATAAAGCTCACGAATAATTCAGAATCCTCCACTAATCAATCGGACCAGCGGATCCGCGAATCCGTCAACCGAGTCGAATTATTCGAACACACATAAGGCAGAAGTTTGCTTTCAGGCTTTCACATGCAGCGTAAAGTAGAGTTTTCATTGGATATCGCTTATCGCTCATTGCTTATCACGTTCAATGTGCAGTAGGCATTATGGGTCTTCTACAATAAGCCATTAATCATAAATCAAAAGTCAGAAGCTAAAAATTGACCAATCACAGTCGTCTTACTGTAGAAGGCCCATTTGGCACGATATTAGGAAATATTAAGAATAAATATTAAGATTTCAACCTATCAGAAACCATATATTTCGGTGTAACTGACAGGTTGAAATCTTATATTTATTTCTATTCTTAGGTTCCAAAACTTTCTCTCCGAGGAAAATTTTACTCGAAATATATAGTACACATAACATATACTATAGCATATGGAATAAAATCTTCCTTGGAGAGGAAGTTTTGGAATGAAGCCTTAATATTTATTCTGTTGTGCGCAAGCCTTTATGACTCCCGCACACAGAACGTGGCAACACTTGCAGCGCGGCGGAAGTTATCACACTAACCAATAATTAATATCGCTGAAGTTCCGGTTTAACCTCGATTGGATGGATTTTCGATACGTGAATACGCACAGAGACACGCGTCTTAGGACGACACCCAGATATGTCATTTTTACGTGATTATATTGTAATTTTCGAATGTATCTCTGAAGCCAGCAGCATATGATTGCTTTCTTAAAAAAAACGGAAAACTTTCAGAGGAACTCTCTGTAGGGATGGTCAGGGTAATTCTTTACCCGAATTTCTTTCAGGATCCGTAGATGTTATTGAAAACAGTTCAATGAGTCAGCATTAACCGTATATTACCTGACTTGTCCCCAGTCTTATGTTGATCTAGACTTCATATGTAGAGTCCGACCTTTTGCCGAAACTGAATCGGAACACTCGGCTATAACATGTCAATTTCAACCGAAATCAAAACCAAAATTAAAAAATAGGAATATTGTAAAGATATATATCACATATAATATGTAGTACACATAAGACATGTATCACATATTTTTCCTTCATAAATATCATAATTTATTGAAACACTAATTAAATTTCGACCGAAATCAAAAATTAAAATTTCGGTTGTGTGTCAATTTTAGCCGAAGATTATAAGTACTTCTTCATAAACATCATAATTTATATATATAATTATTGAAACAATTAAATTTAATACACAATAAATTAATATTTAAGAAGAGCTATACGATTTTAGTCGAAACTGATACTGATTAGTGAGTGCTCAATTTCGATAAAAGTTTCGATCGGACTCTACTCATATGTAATAAAGTTTACAAAATATTGGCTAATATTTAAGTTATAGTAACATAAACATTTTAGAACGCTTGAAATTAAATTTTGCATAAATTATATATCTATAACAATAAAATTTTTTCGTACTGTCGCTTCTGGCTAGTTAAAATAGATTCTTTCCACCGTATTGTCTGCGATGCCAATCTTTCACTCTATTGTCAGTACCGCAGTCTAATAGAGTGAAAAGATTCTAATTGTTCTATAAAAAATTTCTATAGAATTAAAAGAATTTGATTGGAAAACGACCCATACAGCACAGAACGTTGAAATAATGTTCTGTGATGTATAGGGAGCATCGTGTACCGCAGACTTATCTGGTACAGGTAAGATTCGAACAAAACATTTCCAGAAAAAGAAAGAAAATTTTAAAGAAAAATAATGAACTGATATAGCAGATATAATATTTCTGTATATAAAACGCTTTTGTCATCTATTAAATTAATCCTTTTAATATGATACATTTACACATATAAACTATGCATATTTCCTGCGAATGATTTAATATAGATCCAGTGGCGGAGTTTCATCGTAAAGTTTTTCCCTTTCGCCGGCTCTAAATTGCCGTTCTCGCTCGATATTCATAGCCATCAGGCGGCGCCTTCTTTTAATACCCATTATACATTCGTACATATCCTCGAGTATCAATCGGCACTTTTCCTTGCCTCTATGACGACCGTATGCTTCCATGCAATCCATATACATTATCTCATATGGCCCGCATTGTTTGTGAGCTTGTAAATTGCGTACATGAAGAAAGGCATCTGAGGGAGGTCCCTTGAATAAGGGCGCACCACCCCACTTCAGCCAAATGATATTGTCATGATCTATCATGATGTATCTGAAAAATACAGCATTTTTAGAAATCACTACTCATAATATATCAATCAGTATTTCAGAGTTTCAGTATTTTAGCATGATCCTTGCTAAAGAAATATTATATGGAATCATGGCGAGAAGCTCTCGATATATTTTTAATCTTCAACAGTCACACTTCAGTAAAGTATCATAACGGTAAAGTATCATAAGGTCCAAATAATCTCAACGACTTTGAACGATTATCGCGTCCAAATTATTAATTGTTTTAAGTAAAAAAAATTACTAAACATTCTTCAAATAGTATAAAATATATATGAATCAATTTATAATTACGTTAAATTTTAATTCGAGTAATAAAAAATAACAATAAAAATTACCGAAAAGAAACGTAGATTTCTTGATTTAAAAAAAATCATAACTTTTAGATTTTTAATATTTTTTCATAAAATTTACAGGGTATATTGGTATATTCTTTAGATGTTGCACTTTAAAAGAAAAAAATGTCATAGCATTTAAAAAAATTTATTTTTAAGATACAAAGAGGGTAATTTTTGGGAAAGAAAACAAATTCTGAGAAATCTATTTTTTATATTAATAAGGAAGATAAAAAATATAATTAATATATAAAATATAATTAATTGGTAAACAAAATAACGTCATTATCTTAAAGATATCAGATCACATGACGTCAATAATTCAAAATGGCTAACTATCGACGTCAAAATGATTACAGCATGATTACTGGGATTTACTTACATATTTTAACCGATTTTCAGCTTCTAAATGTATTAGGCTGCGCGGGAATAAAACAGGAATAAAGCTGAAAATCGGCCAAAATATGCTAAATCCCAGCACTGAGACTACAATTCTGCCTGCGATGCTTTTCGCACATCGAGTGCTCGCATGACGGATATATATACAGGATGTCCAGAAAATCGCCCGTAATATTTCGGGAAATGATTCGCAATTCAAAAAGAAGGAAAAAAAGCTATATAAACATAGGTCCAGAAATAACGAGTTATAATTACTTTTATATTTAAAAAATTGTAATTCACATTTTTCACAATCACCATTATAATTTATTTCATAGTGTTTTAACATAAATAATTACATTTCGGACTATTTTGGCATCCAGGATGTACCACGTGAAAGCATAGTTTGCTTGGCATTCCTCTAGTAAAATAAAAAAAAATTTTAATTAAAAAAAAAAGAATACCAACTATATCTTTACCAAACTATATTTTTATGTGGTGCGTCCTAAGTAATGCTAAAATAGTCAGAAATGTATTATTTATGTTAAAAGAACTATAAAATAAATTGCGATTGTAATTATAAAAAAAATAAATTACAATTTTTTTAATATAAAAATGATTATAATTCGGAAACTTATTTTCGAATCTGCAAGGAGAGAATTTTCTTTTAAAATTTAGACTGAAAATATGAAAGTTATAGTACAATATTTTAAAGTTTTTACCTTACACTTTAATAAAATTGATCGAACTTATTTTATATTTTATTGTAGTTTTATTAATGAATGAGAGATTTATGTTTAAAAAAATTGTAATTTATTTTTCATAATTATAATTTATTTCATAGTGTTTTAACATAAATAACTACATATATGACAACATTCTGGAATCGATTTGATTCTCTTCAAAATATGTTGTTAAACACAAAAAGACATATTTTTTTTTATACTAGCTTCATCTCAGATTTAAAGAATGAAACAATCTCTCAAAGCTAATATTTATATTTGATTATTATGAATAAGCAAAATGATAATATGAAAAATGTTTTAAACAAAACTCTTTTCTTATATATTTTAATTGTACTCAGACTTTTCAAAAATCTAATATTTTGGAAATATTCTTTTTCCCATTAATTTTGGGAATTTGTTTCATCAATTAAATCTGAGACTGAATATATAATAAAAATATCTCTTAGATTTTTGTATTTAATTCAAATGATAGAATTGCTTAAAACAAAATTTCCATATAATTCTCTGCTTTTAATCAACTTTTTCTCTCATATATATAAATCCCATTAAATAAAAAAAGTTGATAATTCTATCCATGTTATCAATTGACATTGGTACAAGTTAACCATCTATGTTAGACTAAATATATAATCAAGATTCTTGATGAGCTAATAAATGATGTCAAAGAAAATAATACTTATCGTTGTATTGTCGAACAATAAAACTCATTGCAGTTTATTCGCATTACAAAAATAACTTCAGATAATAAAATGTCTAAAATCGGGTCAGAAGAGGTTTTTTTGCGTCTAAAAGACGACTTAAAGACGTCTTATGTTACAATTTTAGACTGTGTTGTTTGAGAACGATTTGGCAATTTTTTAATGAGAAGATATAATCTATACAGAAAAGTATAATAATGTAACTCATGCAAAAACGAGAGAACGATATTACATACCGGTACAGATAGACAATATCTCGGATTTTTGTAATTATTATTTACGCTCGAAGCTGTTGGAGAAATTTTAATCCATAGAAAATAATCTCCCTGCTGCTTTATTTTTACATAATAGCATTTGACGTCAAGTCAGGTTGATGTTGCCACAGGTTTGTTCTTTTTAGAGCCATGGCATGCAAAATTTTTTAAGGTAGTAAGACGTAAGTTCAGATCTACAATAGGTGTTTTAAGTCTTAAGCCGTAAGAAATTGATCAATTATAGTCGAGTGCGAGGAGAATAATTAACTATTGATTCATCCATTTCTTATGGCTTAAGGCTTAAAAACCTATTGTAGATCCGGGCTAAGGAAATCAACATGGATTGGCTACTGTTTACGTCATGACCTTACGAACTCTACTGTAATTGGTCAATTCGCTTATTGTTTACATTTTTTTGTGTGCCATGGCCCTTTGCACTGGTGTATATTTTAGAATTTGGGTGAAAAAAGAATAGATCTTGAGAGCTTTCCAACAAGTGACACAAGAGTCCCTATCCTTGTTCGATAATCAGTAAGAAACAAAGACAGAATGACTCTTGTGTCGATTTGTACCTCTGCTGGAAAGCTTCCTTTATGTTGTCTTTATGGCGGCAGCGGGAAAATTAAAACTGTCATCACAGACATGCGAATAAAAATTACTCAAAATTTTGCAGAAAAAGCAGCAGTTAAAAACTGCATAAAAAATGTTTACAAGTCTGTTCTTTTTAGCTGAACTTCTTGCATGGTATTTCTTTTCTCTGTTCTTCTTTATGGAAAAAAAAAGGAAAAATGAACTGTCAAAAATTCAGCAAAAAGAACAGACTTAATAAATATCTCATACAATTTGTCTTCTCATTTCTTCAAATAATTTGTCATCTTGACTACTTTTATCTGGCAAAAATTCTCAAATTCAGTTTGACTAATTAGAATAGGTATACCAAAACAAACAAGCGTAGCTATATCAATATATAGAAATAATAAATAATGATGTAAGAGAGGTTTAAATAAATAGAGGTGAAGGTTTCTGTTTCACGAAAAAACTAATGCATATAACAAATAATTTAATGCATGGAATATAAATAATAACACATTATTATATTTTATTAATATATAAATGTCTCTTGTTTTTTATCGTCTTGTACGCTAGATTTTAAAACAAAAGTTCTTTTATTTTTATTTATAACAAAAAGTCACTAATTTTCTCTCTCATTTTCTTTAAAGCTGTTCTTTGTTGAACAGTGAATAACAGTGGTAATGGTAAGTTGTGTAAAATATCCGAATTTCGAAATATTTGTCTACAACTATAACAGAGATGTGTCCAAACGTCCTCTGTAGTTACTTGTCTCTCTCTATTGTTCTCACAATTACAGTTGGCATTATCGTTACAGCAACTATTATTGTCAGAGTGTGTAAAGAGGTAATTTGATTCTCCGTTTTCTTCATTATTAGAACTTATGGTATCGATGCATTTGGAAGACACTAATTTTGAAACCTCGATCGCCCTCATGGCAGTCACTTTATTGCCAGAAGGGACAAAGTCCAATCTTGCATCACAAAGCGCGCAATTATTTTCTAAATTTTGTTGTACGTTGCTCCTTGGGCTTATTTTATCGGCTGTGCGGTATACGGTAGATATTGTACCAGAAAATTGAGATTCCAGTTCCATCGTGAAATTGCGTGCTAATGCCTGTATAGAAGTTGCCGGTATACTGTCTTCTATTGATTTAACAGGATTTATCTTATGATATTCTGAATAATATACTAATTCCTGCTGCGTAAAATCTCTCATCGGTTTGAGTATTTTAATGTCGATACACCGAGCGTCGCAAAAGTTTGCTTGCGTGGAAAGTTGCGCGCCTCGTCCTAAGCATACATCTCCAAGCACATTCATAGCGATGTCCGCAACAGAATCAGCTACAAATATCTTGTTACAATTAAGTTTCCGAGCTGCCGATAGGAGTAGTCTTCGACGCAACTGATTGAGAAAATCCGTCCTTGAGGTATCGTCCGTTAAATTAGCCAATATCGCATGCAGTCGATTATCATTTTCATAATTTATCTCTTGATCTATAGGTTTTATATCTAAAGTATCCTCTTCACTTAAAACTTGACTCATTGACACAGCATAACTGTTAAATCCAGAAACCTTTGTTTCCTCAGCAATTTTATGTCGCAATATGTCCCTTTCATTGGTTTTTTGCATATTATCTGTCATACATATATACACACAGAATTTTTCTCAATCTTAAAATTTCCCACATGATAAAAAATACATAATAAAAAATTCAATATGATAAAATATTCTGCTAATTATACAATAATGGAGTCCACCCTTCAATGAGCTTGACTTTTACATATATGAGATTCCTAATGACCTCCAACAGGTGTCAGGCAGCAGTTGTCCCTCAAAAAGTTATTAACAATTTTTTTAAATAACGTGTTATTTCTGGTATATACAATATTAAGAACTATTCCACATCCTTCCCTGCTAATAAGGCTTTTCTATACAAAGCAAGGTGTGCCCGATGAATATACTTACTATTTGAATAAATGAATAAAAAATGAATGAAAATACCCATACAAATACACTTCTTTTTTATTCATCAAGAAACGAATAAATAATTTTTCATTCCATTTAAATGGATATTTTTTGAATATGGTTAAATACAAATATTTTTATTTTAGCATTTACTTCTATTCTATGTTATCTGCATCTATTCTATGTTAGCTTGTAAGCAAGAGAAAATAAAAATCTGTGTTGTGCATGTTTTTTTGTGTGTGTAAAAACAATGAAACCTCCTTTGGAAAATAAAAAAGAAGTGTATTCGAATAGGTATTTTCATTCATTTTTACAATAATGCTAGATAGCAGACTAATGACAACATAGTACATAGTAACGAATTTACGATAAAAATCTCAAATAAAAATTTATTATATAAAATTATATGTTATCTCAAATGAAGACTTGAATGAATATATGATTAATTTTTTTTAACATGAAAATAATTGTATTTGAATAAATACAATTTGTAGTTCGATTACAAAGAACAATATTCTAGGATGTATACTAGATTTTTATGATATCTGATACATAGATATTTTATCTATTTTTAAATTATTTTAAGTAAAAACTTTATACTGAATGGTTCTTGCTTTTAGTTCCGTATAGATCTAAACGTATAAACCAATCATATTAAAGAATTTTTTTGAACAGTTGCAAAACTGCTTTCTCTGCTGAACATAGTTAGTATAATATAGCCACGACAATGCAAATTGATGCTGAATTAGCTGTCAAATGCTGCTTTCGCAATTGATATGTAACAAACATTTGATTGGTTGTTTCCCCTCTACTGCTGCCATTATACGCAATTACACACTTTGTATCTTTTCACTATGATCTTAATGATATATCAAGGTCATCATAGGATGGTCCCTATTATCACACAATTATCAAAATTCTTGATTTATATAAATAGAAACTTACCATCTACATACAAAATTATTGCCTCAAAAATAAGTCTTTTGTGAGCAGATTCGCTCATACCAGTTTTAATGAGATGTAAGAGCACGGTGGAATTTAATTTCCCTGAGTGATCGATCAATATTTTGTCACCGTGGCGAATAATTTTAGATTTACCAAGTGCCGCTCTAAACTTGTGATTTGTAACATTTAAAAAACAAGTTTTGCAATAACCGCTTTGGCCAAGTAATAAAATATCGACGTTTTCGCATCTACATTTTCTGCATAGTGTCGTATCTCTGTTAAAAACAATAATATTATCAATCTATACCAATAATCTTATTTTTCCTTATTTATTTGTCATTGTTATACTTACGACGATAAATCTTTTTTAGATATGTCATCATTGTTATCATCAAATGTGCAATCATTTAACGAGCACATCTTTCCTTGTGCAATTTGTTCAAAAATATAGTTTACACAAAAAATATAGTTTACGGTAAATGTTAAGAGCTCATGCACTTCAAATTTTGATAAAAATACACTATACATAAAGATAGATTTGACAAGAAAAAAGTGTCTCTCCTTCGTGAACTAAAATATTAATCGTTAAAGTTGACGAATAAGGTTAAAAATCTATCACAGCTGCAAAATGCAGCGAAATGCTACGATACGGGCATGTAGTCATATACTGCGTATAGTTTTTTTATTGGCAGAACTGGTGCACTCTCAGTGCACATTAAAGCTGTTGTACATTAATCTAATCTGACTGTAAAAGTGAGATATCTCAATTAATAAAATACCCAATGTATATTTTATCAAATACCAATAAAATGTATTGAGGATTTCGTGGTTTAATTCGTATTTATATTTTTGTTAAACTTACATCTTTACGTCGATTTGTGTATAATAGCTTTGAAATTCACTGAGTGTGCATCAAGATATCAATCATGAAACTTTATCCCTAGGATGGAAAGTGAAAGATGAAAATTTTAACCATCGAAGTTAATGGAGAAATTTTTCACTTTTCACTTTTCATCCTAAGAAAAGTTTCATGATTGATACCCAGGAGCGGGAAGGCTCCGATTGCACACATCGCATGTTGCACACATGCATCGCTAATTATCCAATTTAAAAACAAAATATTCTCATTAGTAAAGCAGTGAAAAATTACTGGACACACCAGCTGATATGAGTGGGTGTGCAATCGGGATTGTAGGCAAATGGATCCTCCCAAATCTGGACATAAAGCTAGGGCTTGTAACACTTGAATCATGTGTCCCGCCAATTTCAAATCATTTGATATACAGGTGTGGATATAATAAGGCAGTAAATAATATTTAATATTAAATATCATTCAATTAATAAATTATAGAACGAAGAATAATGGTGTTTGAATCAATACTATTAACCATGACCATTATATTTATTTAGAGAGGAGTTTATAGCCGCGCGAGTGAACTTATAGAGCTACTTTTCTCTCTAATTATTAAGACTTAGGATAGAATAGAATATTCATTTGCTTTAGTATATTTACAAATCAAGGAGGGGACTTTACAATTCTCCTTAACTCACTCATTTATCGATACTTTTCACACTTTCTTATTTGCTCATCCTTCCTACTTCCTATCCTTATAATCAATTATCAGAGCCCCTATTCTTGAAAAGAAACGAAAAATTAAAAAAATATTATAATGTACGTATATTATAGTATTTCTCTAGTTTTTCGTATAAATGTCATCCAATTAAATCCAATGGAATTCAATTAAATCCGAAAAAAGTATTTGCTATTTAAAATATGTGCATTCGGATAGAAAAAAATTTCAATTCATTTTAATTCATTCTCGTTTGCTGGGTCTGTTTAAAATTTACTATAGAGAACTATAGAAAAAAGTTCTATAGTTTTTTAATGAGTGTTTTGAATCGATAAATCCCACCACTGACAAGATAGCAGGCAAATTAAATATTTTTGATTTATTTATGTCTACACAATTTGGGAATTGTTTGGGGAAATTTGGGAAAAGCATTTAAACGTTTGGGTAATAGTATTTTTCTTGTTATTAACAAATTTTGTCATGCGGTCTAAGTTAGCAGATAGCAATTTGATTTAATGTGTTTTATGAATGGAATCGATTAGAAATCATTTGGAAAGACGTCATTATTATTTTCATTTGGGAAAAGTCACTATTTGGTAATTTAATAGATTTATACATTACGAAAACGAATTAACAAAGGATTTACATTTGTAAAAAAGAGTACTTATATATAATAATATGTAAAATTGTGCATAATTGTGTGTGAGCAATTTTTTTTACATTTTTCCAAACTTTTTTCTTTCTGAAACGAACAATAAGAAAATTATTTCTTTAATTATTTTTTATGTTTTCACATTACTATTATTATTTTCATTACACAGAAAAGTTATTTTTTATTTTTTTTAGGCATCGCACCATAAAACAATGCATCAAGATTTACCGATTAAACACCCAAAAGCGGTAGATTCCGAACAAGATGAAATACAGGAAATGAGGGAGCAGGAACAAGAACTTATAATTCCCTTACCTGATAACATATGGGATATTATCAGAGAAGAAACAGGAATTATTAGAACAAGTGTGGGGACAACGGATGGCATTCCTGCAGGTGCTGAGGAGGAGCCAGATTTCGTCTTCGAGTCGGAGGAACAGGCCATGGACGGGTTCGAAGAAGTCATGGATTTGCTTTTAAAAGACTGCATTGAAGTCAACCTCTTCGAAAAGGAGAATAAGAGATAAAGGATGATGAGAAGGATGTTAAGGAGGAGAAGAAGGAGAAGGAGGAGAAGGAGAAAGAAGAGACTGAGTGAATATCAGCAATAAATAAAATCAATTTTTTAAATAATTAATATATAAAAAGGCAAAGAAGCCACGTTTGATGTGCTATATAATATTTATATGTTTATCCTAAGATAGCAATAACACAAAAATACAACAGATGTTTCGACCTTTTTACATCAGGTCCTCATTAATGTGATAAAACTTGATATAAATTTTGCATATTAAATCTTCTTAAGATCGTACTCCTATCCAAATTCCTACTCTTTACAAATTATTATAATTTCTTGTGGAGAACTATAGTGGTGTATATATTTTTAACCTAGTCTAAATTGCTACGCCTGGACATTTTTAAATCCTATATATTCCGTGACTTGGATTTTTATAATTTTTTTGTTCCATCAACAACAGCTTAGTCAATCTTAAAAAATTGTTTTAAAAAAACAAATAAATTAAGCAATTTACATTAAATATAATATATGTTCATACTAATTAAAACAATTTTAATAAACTATTTTTAAAAAATTTAATATATCTGTATCTTCTAAGAACAAAATACATATATATTTAAAACATATTATTAACAATAATTGTAAGACATTAATAATACATTTTATATTAATGTTATAGTTAATTTTAAGGGAGGGCCGAGAATTAATTAAATACCTAGTATATTGGAGTACTTGGATGATTTAAAATAAAATTAAATATTTCTTTCTTTTGATAAAATTATATGACATTGATAGAAGAATATCTTAGGATATTTATCTTAATTATTGCTAGGAAAATATCTCAAAACGAATATTATGTTTTTCAAAATATACTGTTAGAAACGTAACCACGAGCTTCCTTTACATGTAAATGAAGCTGTGATTATGAATGAAATTAAAAATCAGTCAATGTCGTTGGTACGCAGTAATGAGTCTTTCTGGCATGATTTTTTATTACTTTCTAACTTTCATTTTTATGAAATTGATTAACATTCCAATGCGAAATTTTTCATTTATAAGCTTCAATAATACTAGCTTTAATAATATTTTATGAAAAGTACATTAAATTTCATAAATTTGCATAAAAAATACATTAAATTTTATGTACATGTATACACAAATATACTTTTTAATTATAAATACATTAAATTTAATGTAATGTCATAAAATATATTCAAATTGTGTAATTTAAAAGTTAATAAAATTTAAGAACTACATTTCTAAGTGTAGGATATTTGATAAGTTATTAGATTGTTTGATTCATCTTTTTACTTGTAATACAATAACTAGTTTTAAACAAATTGGAAATTGACTCTTAGGAAAGAAAATGGAAAAAAACTGATTATAACTTTATGCGCATACTTAAGGATTAACTAAAGGATTTGGTGAATAAGAAGAATAAAATGAAAAATTATAAAAAAAAGAATAATTTTTTTTTGTAACAATTTCAGTGAGTAAAAAATACCCAGTTTTGTACTTTCACAAATAAAAGTAAGATCTTTTCTTGGGTTTAAAAGGAAGAAAATCTTAGATATTTTAGATATATATATATATATATATGTGTGTATACATACATATATGTGTGCGCGCGTGCGTGCGTGCGTGCGTGCGTGCGTGCGTGCGTATTTTGACAGTACATTATACCGCAATATACCACTCAGTTTAGGAAATGCATATTCTCTACAGTAATATTTAAATCTTGTATCAATAACAAATCCAATTTTATTTATGCAACACACACATACACACACACACACACACACACGGCTGGTCCAAATTCACCTATATTCTTATCAATATATCTGTATTCTTATCAAATCTTGTAACAGCTTTTGTATTTAATTTATCGCAGCTTCTTATTTTTTCTTAAAAAATTCTTTTTTTTTTTAAATGAATTTACATTTTTAAATACATCACATATGTCTTTTAGATGATTTTGCAAATAATTTACTTGATCATTCTAAAGAAGATTTACACTGTCAGCAATCATTGTAACTAATTCTGTACTTGCATTGATTACAGAGTTTAAAGTATTTTCAGTCATATCTAAGTTAGTTAATTGTAATGCAAAATTACAAACAAGATTTTTTAATTTTTCGTCAGTAAAAATTAAATCAAGTATAAGAGTAATATATATGTGCTCAGTAGTATATGTTGTCTATGAAAATATCTATTGTGGACTCACAATCAGTATAGAAATATTTTTATATTTTCTGTATAATAATATACTATTTTTTTAATACTATTTTTTAGAGTAATGTACTATTTTTTTCAGACTATGTGACGTGGCGACATTAAAATTAAAGGATTTATAAATAACGCATAAAGGCGATTTATTAAAATGAACAAACGCTTTTGACGAGAAGTAAAAAGAGTAGACATTTGGAAGCAGCATGATCTTTCCATTTGCGACAATTATTTGGATTGGAAAAATGCATAAATCCAGACGAAATAATTCAGAGGATTCGGATTGTAAGTATTACAAATTTAACAACATAATTTATTGTTGCCATACCCGGGAAAAAATATTTTATATATTTTTATTACATAAAAATATAAAACTATATATAATTTTTTATATTTGTAATTATATATAATTTTATATGTAAATTTATGTGTAATTATATATAAATATAATTTATATAATATATATAATTATACATAAAATAAAATATTTTATAAATATTTTTTTCCGTTGTACTATACGCTAATATTTTTATATATGTAGTATTTTTATTTTTATTTAATATGTCATATTTTCATCTTATAA